CATGTAGTTATGGCTTTGCGCCTACCTGGCCGCGCGCCTACTTGGGCGCGTTTCCCGAAATAAGATACTGTAATAAATACTGACTGCTAAAATAGTATAATATATAGTATTGACTATAGTAATTGACAAGATCCCTTTGGAACAAGATCCAATGTCCCTTCCTTCTAAAGAAGTGACATTTGTGAACTTCGACATTTGCGAACATCCACAAAGTTTTCTGGTATTATAACGAGTACTGTCCCCCTAAAATACTATAATATTCATAGACCATGCTAACTGACAGGACCGAATGTTCCTTTGTTACAATTTCATTAATGTCCGCAAATGTCGGTTCGCAAATGTCGCTGTGCCCAAATAAACTAATTTGTGGTTATTGTCCTCCCCTACTGAATTTTTTTGGTTAAATAACAAACCAAACAAATATTTTATTAAGAGAAAAGGGCACATTTTGAAGAAAAGTTTAGAGAGTTTTTAGTGTGTCTTTCATTCACACTCACCAAAAATTGGCCGAGAATTTGGGGGGAAATTTTTAAAAAGGAAAAGGAAGCCAAAAATCACCATAATAATAGAAATGAAAATTTTATATTTTATTTTTTTTTACAGTAGCATGGTTGACAGAGCTTATAAATTCAAAAAAAATTTATTTTATTTATTAGATGAGCAATTTATTTTTTTATTTAATAAAAGGGCGGCTCATAACCAACAAAAAATATTTTCTTTATTTTTCCTTTTATTATTAATAAAATTTCATTTTTTAAAATGTCAATTTTAAATGTTATGAAGGTGGAAAAATTTTCTTTTTAATTTTATTTAATTTCTATTGAAAAGAAACCTTTAAATATTTTTTAATTGTAAAGAAGCCCTAATTTAAAAGGATTTTTTGCCTATTTAATTTGATCGACATTTGAGCACACCGACATTTGCGAACAAAACTAAAGTCTATTGAACTTTGATCAAACGGCTTTTGGTACAGTACCAAGTCTTGTGGATTCAGTATTATTTTGGTGCTACAGTATTTATTACAGTACTTTATATAAGCAATAAATCAGATGATGTTCGCAAATGTCGTTATACTTAACTTATTATGTTAAGGAATAAATAATTAAAAAAGATTAATAAACTTTTTTTAAACTAAAAATATTTGGGTTAGAAAAAAATGCCGCAAAAAAGGAAAAATATTAAATTTATTTTTATATTTAATCCAAAAAATCGCCGTAATAGTTTTTTGGCACATAAAACGGTAAAAATAAATATTTTCCTTTTTTTGTGGGTTTTGCAAGGATATAGAGGATTTGTGCTGTTTTTATTACTTATATTAGTCTTTTTTGGCTTTTTAACGGTTTGTTCCGATTTCAGTAATTTTTGTTGTGTTCCCAAATGTCAGTGTAAATATTTTTCGGAACTTTTTAGAAAGTACCCAAAAGTCGTTTGTCCAAATTTCAATAAACGTTGTTTTTTTTCGCATCTGTCGATGTGCGCAATTGTCGTTCAAATTAAATAACAAATTTATCCTATTTTTTTTTCTTTCTCTGTCTATTACAGTATTTCCCTCTTTATTTAATATATTTTCTCTCTTTATTTACCTAACATATTAAAAAAAGTTTTTAATTAAATAATTAAAACAAATTAAAGAATGGGCGGGGTATTCCAGAGAGTCTCCCCCTCTTCCCCAAATTATTTTTAAAAACGGCCGGGAATTGGTTAACCTTTATTTCTTTTTCAATTGGTTTCTAATTGAATAGAGAAGAAAATAAATAAAAATAGAAGAGAGGCCACGCCCCTTTTTTCTTTCCATTAATTTTAAGTTTGTCTTTCTTCTTTTCATAATATTTTTAACACAATTAGATTTAAATTAAAATTAAATTGAATATACCTCATTGTAAGAGACACCCAATATTAGACACACCTCTATTTAAAAGACGCTCTTTAAAAGTTTGTTGGTTATTGCAATACCCTTCTATTTAAGATACCCCTCACTATAAGAGACCTCCATTATTAGCTACACCTCATTATAAGAGACCCCCCATTACTAGCTACACATTCATTATAAGAGACTCCCAATATTAGCACACTTCTATTTAAGATACTTTTTTTATAATTTCAGTCAGTCAAAAGGGGGCGGAGCTTCCTAAGTACCCTCTTATTTAAAAAATTTTAAATTGGGACAAAATGTCCTTTTTCTAAATTAATTATTTATCTTTTTATTTAATTATATATTTAGTTAAAAACACACAAAATTACCTCATTTGCCAACAACTTTTTTCTCGTTTTTTTATTTAATTTTAACCTTCTTTTTATTATATTTTCTCGTAATATTCTTTAAATAAATAAATTCAATTTACGATTTTTGACGAAGCAACCCGCTAATACATCCATTTTTATTGCTTTATAACTAAATAAATATATTAAAATAAATTTATTTTATTAAATACTTATTTGGATTTTAATAAAAAAAAATTTAAAAAAATTCTTTTTGAATAAAATATTCTTTGATACCCTTAACTCTCAAATTGGGACAAAATGTCCCCTTTCCAAAATAATTTTTGATTTTTTAACCAATAGCCTTCTCTTTGATTTTTTTATGTTATTATGATTTTTTATGATTTTTTTGTCCTTTTTTTTGAACCATAACTTCTTTTTGATTCTTATCCTTTTGAATAATTAGTAGTAGAGACCGGACTGACGTGAATCAAGATTTCGAAAAAATCTCGATTCTTGATAACCGAAATTTTTGACTGAGATCTCATCTCTGTTCGATCTCTATATCATTCGAGAGCTCTGAATATGAGGATTATTTTATTTGTTAGAATTAATTTGAGGAGATTCTTCAAGAAATTGCAGCTAAATAAATATCAAAAATCACGATTGCGCGGATTTGATTGGCTGTAACTCTTTGTAGGATGTTCCAATTGGATCTATCCTGCTTGCTAAAATAATCCTTACATTCTTAGCTTTCAATTGATATAAAATTTATTTAAATCGGTTAAGAATTTAAAAAGTTATGGCCCAAAATATGGCCTCGAGAGTGAATCAACGATTATGAGATGGCTTTTGGCGAAATGTCATTTTAGTGGGCACAACGCCAAACAAATTTTAATTAAATTTTAATTTTATCTTTTTCTCATACTTTTGGCTTTTAAAAAATTTTTAATATTTTTTTGTTTTTCAAAAATTTTATTTTTCAGATTTTTAATTTCCACCCTTCTTCATTTTCTTCAAAATTTAAATGTAATTAATTAAAGACTACCCAAAAATTAATAATTTAATAAAAACAATATTTAAAAGAATGTGTTCTCTAAGTTCCTGCCCTTCCCCTGTTTGGTCTAACAATGAAGGAATTAATTTGGCGGGAAATAATAATGGAGAAAAGTGGCCTGGAACTTCAACAACTACCAAACCTAAACATTCAATTAATGAAATTTTGTCAGAAAAAAATGAAGAGGAGGAACAGAGTGTTAAAAAGGAGGAGGAAGGGATGGAGGAACAGAAGAGGTAAAGATCCTTACCTTCAATACTGGATACACCTCTGTTTAAGAGACGCTCTCAAAATTTGGTTGGCCATTGAAGGGCTGTTTAGGGGATACCCTCTATTTAATAGACACCTCATTATAAGAGACTTCTCATTATAAAATACCCTCTTTGTTAGATACACCTCGTTATAAACACCTCTGTTTAAGAGACGCTCTTTAAAATTTGGGTGGCCATTAGGTGGGGAGGGCTGTCTAGATTTAATTTTGGGACAAAATGTCATTTTCATATAACATTGGCAATGATCCTCTATTTAAAAGACGCCTCATTATAAGAGACTTCTCATTATAAAATACCCTCTTTATTAGACGCACCTCTTTATAATTTACGAATTTTTAGCCCTAATGCGTGTCTTTAAGGTTTAGTCTTTGTAAGTTTCCATTTCAACATTTTCCACTTTGAAATTTCCAAAATTTTATTTAAAAATAATTTTAAAAATTTTTTTAGTTTTGAACAAAATTTGGAAGAAAATAACAACAATTTAATAAAATCAGAAACAATAAAAGAAGAAAGAAAAGAAGAAGAAGAACACCCCCACCAACAACACCAACACCCCCAACAACCACAACAAATCCCCCTAATTCCCCCAACAATTTCAATTCAAAATTTACTCCAAAATTTTGTTCAAAATTTATTTTCCCAAAAATCAACTCAACAATTAATTCCTCCCTCCTCAAATAATTATTTCCCTCCATTTTCTCAATTACAAGAATTACAAAATAATCAAATAAATAATTGGCCATCTTCTCTTTTATTACAACAACAATTAATTGATAATAATTTAAATAATTCAGGTGGGTGTAGTCTAAAAAAATTTTTTTTGACACCTCTTTATAAGAGACGATTTTTCAGCCCTGATTTGTGAGTGGGTGTTGATAAGGAGGTCTCTAGGTTTTACCTATTTTGAAGGTTTACCGTTTTGAAAATTTTCCATTTTGAAATTTTAACATTTTTAGGATTTTCCATTTTGACATCTTCCATTTTTAAATTTTACCGCTTCGAAGATTCACCATTTTGAGGATTTCACCATTTTGAAAAATTACCATTTTAACTTTGACCATTTCGAAAAGTTACCATTTTGTAATTATCAAAATTTCAAATTGTAAAAAAAATCAATTCGGAAAAATTTCAATTTGGAAAAACTCAAAAATTAAAATTTTCAAGTAGGGGGAAGGATTTTTTATTTGGCCTACTGTATATATAATATTTGTTAAAAAAGTGTGTTTAAAACTTGTATTACATATTATTAAAAAGAGAAATGATTCATTTAATATTTTTATTACAAAATAAATCATTCAAATTATTTAAAAAAAAATTTTTTTTGATTTTTGAGGAGAAAATTTAATTTTTAAAAATTAATTTTTAAAGTTCATTCTCCTCCCTCAACAACAAATTTATTATCATTCCCTCCCCCTCCCTCAGCTTCTTCCCAAACAACAACAACTTTTTTCCTTCCCTTTCCCCAACAAATTAAAATGGAAACAACACAACAAATAAATAATCAGAATTCTTCCCCTTCCCCTCCAACAATTAATTGTTTTAATCAGTCAAATTCTCCTTTAAATGGAGGAGGAGGGGGAATTATTGGGAAAAAACAGTCTAGGCCGACATTTAGTGGACAACAAGTAAAAAAATTTTTTTGAAAAATTTCTAGAAAATTTGAAAAAAAAATTTTTGAAAATTTCAGAAAATTTTAAAAATTCCAAAAAAATTTCTGAATTTTTGGAAAAATTTTCTAGAAAATTTTTTTGAAATTTTTTAGAAATTTTTTTTGAGATTTTTACTCGAGAAAAAAATTTTTCCTCTTTGTAGATTTACATGTTGGAAAAGAAATTTGAAAATTCAAAATATTTGGCTGGGACAGAAAGGGCACAATTGGCTAAAGAATTGTCAATGACTGAAAGTCAGGTTAAGGTGGGCAAAAAATATTTTTTGGAAAATAACAAAAAAATATTTTTTTAACTCTCGGCCAACTATAAAATTTTCTAAAATCCTCCCCTTCAACTACAGTATTTTCTTTATTCTTCCCTTGTCTCTCTTCTCTTTTCTTTGTCTCTTTCATATTTCACCAATTCACATTTTGCCAACCTGGCTTAAAACTTACTATTTGCCACAAAGTTTGTTGACAAAATGTGGGATTTTAGCCTTGTTGGCGAAATGTGGTATTGGTGAAATATGGTTACTCACTCTTTTTTCTTTCCTCTTCTCTTGTCTAAAACAACTAAAAATACATTATTTCATTGCCCGTTAAAAAAAAAGAATTAATGGATAAAATAAAAAATTAAAATAGAAAGAAAAAATGCGGCAGGGCATCTGCTATAAATAAATAAATGTTGCCAAAATATAAAATGTTCGTTTTAAATCCTTAAAAAAATTTTTTTGTTTTCTGGTTAGCGGGGGAATTTTTAATTGTTTTTTAAAAATAAATAAATGTTTGGCGAGTTTACAACATTATAAAATAAATTTAGAGAAGAAAAGGATATATTTATTTTGTGGATTATTTGGTTTAAAATGAACAGAGATTAGCGGTACTTTAAAAATAAAAATTAAACCCCTCTTTATAAGATACCCCACTCTTTCTGGATTGGAAAATCAAACCTTATAATGAGTGTTTATTAAATAGAGAGTATTCCCTAGGCTCCTCATCCTTGGCATTGCAATTTATATAAAGAACGTCTCTTATATAGGGGTGTGTCTAATATTGGGTGTATCTTAAAATGAGGTTTTTGACTGTACAGAATACTCCCTAATGCTTGATAAGCCTCTATTTAAGAGACGCTCTTTAAAATTAAATTGGGGGTTGAGTGGAGAGATGCCTTTCATGGTAACCTCTATTTAACAGACAACTCAATTTAAGATACGTTTTTTAAAATTCGATTAACCAATGAGTGAAAAAGCTTCCGATACCTCCCATTTTAGATACCACTCATTATAAGGTATTATTATTTCCCATGGGATAGTGAGGTTAAACTTTAAGCTTGCTATTTATTCTCTTTACTCAATAAAATAATAATGCATTTATATTTACATTTAAAGAAAATACAAACACAATTTCATGTCCATTACCCCCTCGGGTAATTCTTCTTGTCCTCCCGTCCTTCTGCCCTTTTTTTTAAATTTAATATCCAGATGTAGTTAGTTAATTTTTAATGCAAAACTCATCGTTTTCCGCTTTCGTGGGAAGAGGAGAGAGGGGGATAATTTTTATGAATTTATTACATTATTTTAAAAAATGTAGGGGGAGGGGGGGGGGGAAGAAGATATTTAAATATACATAAGAGATGTTGGGGGGAAATAAAAATTAGAATTGAGAAAAAATAAAATTTTTGAAAGAAAAGGAAAACTTGGGGAAGAAGTTGAAGACTTTGGAGGTCTATTTTTATTAGAAACCGAACCGAGCCGAGATCTCGATGGAAAATCTCGTTTATCGGAATCGAGACTTTTTCGAGATCTCGATTCTCGTCCGACCCTCTCAGTCCGGTCTTTAATTTTTATTAATTAAAGCATCAAACAGTTAATTAAACAGCATGTTCTATATATCAATCGAAAGCTTAATTCAAGCCTCGTTTGACATGTTTCAGCATTTTCCCAGAAAAATTAAATTTCAAGAGATATGCGGGGATAAAGAGGGGATATACTAATCCTGGGCTACTTGATCCCCTTTAAACACCCATAACTTTTTGAATTTAATTTTTCTGGTAAAAGGCTTAAACTTGTTAAATAAGGCTTGAATTAAGCTTTCAAAAGGTGTATAGAACAATTAATCTTTTACCGTTAAAAGAATGTTAGAAGCGCTCAAAACTTGTTGTCCCTTGAATTAATTAAAAAATTCTTCCTTATTTCCGCTCATTTTTGTGCTGCTAATTACTTTATCTCAAATTTTCTTTTTAATTTCCACAAATTCCCATCCTTCTACGCATAATAAATCATATAATATTCTCTCATTTTTCATCATTTCTTCACCCCTCTTTTGCGCACTTTCTCAGTTACTCTTCCCTTTAAAACGCCGCTTAAAGGGGGGGGGGGGAAGAATTTTTATTTTCTCAGATTTGTCGGTATTTATTTACCTTCCTTTTACCCGTTTTTGGATGTTTTTAATGTTGCCTGGTACAATAAAAAAATTTTTTGAAAAAAAGGTGCGCCCGGGACAACAATGAAAAAATATATTTTTGAAGGAAAAGGAGGGGGAAGGAAGGGGGCAATTGAAAATTAAATCGGAAATGTTGCGTTTTTTGTTAGTCAACAATGTGTGAATTGGGTTTTAAAGGGGGAATATTATACAGTAAAAATTAAATTATGTAAAAAATTAGTCATGCAATTTAATAAAAATGCCCCCAATCAAAAATGCCAGATGTCCCCCCAATCAACAAACACATCTGCCTCATTTATTTTAATTTTAACTTTTTCAAGTTATAATTTTATTTTCAAAAAATATCATTATATGTAGTTCATTGAATATTTATTCTAAATTATTAAGATTAATTAAAACAAATATTAAAAAATTTAGGGTGCGACATTTGTGTATTTGACAATTGTGAACACGACTATTGCAAATACGACATTTGCGAACACGATATTCGTGAAACGACCTTTTCGAACAAAAACTATAATACCCAGCTCTTCTTCACACAGAGGGCATATTGTGCCTTTTCTGTTCACAATTGTCGTTACCACAAGTGTCGTGTTTGGTATTTGTCAATTTCGCATTTGTCATGCCTCCAAATATTTACATTATTAAATTAAATTATTTTGTACTAATCTTTTTAAAACAAATACATATTTTAAATATGTAAATAAGTATTTATTATATTTATTTGTCCAAATTCTTTTCTACAAACTTTACTAAATACCAATTTAATTCATTCTTTTGTAATTCAAATTAATTTTTGGTTTTGTCCTTTCTACTCTTTTCTTCTGTTTTCTCACCTTTTTTTACTCCTTTTTACCCTTCCTGGCTTCCGTCAAAACAATTTTTTACCAAAATTTTGGTTAAAATTAAAAAGAATAATTAAATTAATTTTTAAAAAATTAAAAAAATTTTTTAGGTATGGTTCCAGAACAGACGAACAAAATGGAGAAAACGGTTAATAAATAAATAATTTAATTAAGGTGGTGGGGCAAAACACCGTCCGACTATCACCGTAGGGGCATCTGATGCGTGAACGGGTTATGGTCGGACGGTGTTTTGTCCTGGCACGATTTAATATACTGTAACTGAAAAATACACATACCCATAAGATACTCCAAAAGTCTCACTATAAAATACCTTCTAATACTAGATACACCTCTATTTAAGAGACGCCCTGTTAAATTAGGTAAGTTACTGGATGGGGGAGGACTGTCTGATCTATACCCTTTATTAATGTACACCTCATTATAAGGGCATTATAAAGACAGTATCTCGGTATCAACCTCTCGGGGGTATAGGGTTCCACCGTTACTAAAAACATTAATTTATTTTAATTTTTCAAGTGAGTCAGCTGACCAGGCCTCCCGTAGAAGATCAGAAGCAGCCGAAGCTTTCGACCGAAGCATTTCACCTTCCTTCCTCCACAACGCTGGTGGTTCCAATTCCCCAGGTTCTCCTCTATCAGGAATTGCTGCAGGCACTTCAAGTCCTTGTTCTCCAGAAAATTATGTTTCTTCTGGTCAATTCTCCACAACAACCCAATTTATTCAACCAAACAATTTTGCTGCTTTTTCCCTCTTTTCGGCACCTTTTTTTAGAAGTTTTCCAGCACAAACTGAAACACACAACAATTCTGCACTAGTAGAGGCTTTGTGTAATGGAGGAGGTGGTGGGCAAAATGGGGAGACTAATGAATCTGCAAATTAGGTGAATTACTCTTTAATCAGACCTCACTTGTTTTGATGGAAAATTGCCTCTTATAATGGGCGTTTATTAAATGGAGAGTATTGCTTAGATAGCCTCTATCAGATGATAATTGTCTACCGGATAATTGCGAACGGGACAATTGCGATTGGGACAAATGCGGACACGACACTAGGGAATACGACAATTGCGTACATGGACGATTGCATACAGGACATTTGCGACATTAGCATAAGAAAACGTCTCCACGTCTCTTTTATCTAATATTTGGGGTTTCTTATAGTGAGGTCTGATTATATTTTCCATTTCTTCCTTTTTATCTTCCCAATATTCTTTTAGTCAAAAAATATTTTTTCCTCTTTATTTTCCCTTCTAAATGCAATTTTTTAAATTATTTTCTAATTATTTTTCAAAAAATACAAAAGCAATCATTTCTTTAAAAATACAAAAATATTTTTCTTTTTTATCAGCATTTTCACAATTTTTCCTTGCCAACAAAAAAATACAAAATAATAATAAATTTTTTTCGAATATTTTTTTTCATTCCTGTGAATTGTTTTGCTTTGATTAAACAATGATTAAAACACAATACACAAAAATAAATTTTTGTTTGTTTTTTTTTGTAAAATTTTATTTGGACAATTGTGTAACAGACAATTGCAAATACGACAATTGCGTAAGAGACAGTTATGGGAAAGACAAATGCGTATGTGACAAATGCGGATACGACATATGTGTACAGGACAACTGCGAACATGACAACTGAGAACGACATTTGCGATTGCGACAAAAGCGTACAGGACAGTTGAGACGTAAACTTGTCCCGTAGGCATTAAATAAAAAATATGTAAAGACAATTGCGAAAACGACAAAAATGTACAGAATAATTGCGAATACTTGCTTAACAAAAATAAAATAATTTATGCAAAATTGAAAAATCATAACAAATATTAGTTAAATTAATTAAAATTAGGTTTTTTTGGCGTTATTATTAGGGCAAATTAAATAATTACATAAATAAAATTAAATTATTTCACAAATTTTGAGTTGATTTTGTTCCAAAAAATTGTTTAAAATTCGAAAAGAAGTAACTTCTTTGGCTGCCAAATTAATTTTTCCTTCTTGAATTTGTGAACGAATAATTGAGGGAGGGAGGAAATTTAAATTGTTTTCTGTTCCTTTTTTGTCAAAACAAAACAGAATGTTTTCTAAAGCCAATAATTGATCTATTAGTGAAGGCTCGGTTAAATAAGAAAATAATTCTGGGCAATGAAAGTGCTTCTTAAAAAATTAGAAATTTTAAAAAATAGAAAACCTCTCATTACAAGATACCCTCAACTGAGAAAGCGTCTCCTATAATGAACGTCTCTTAAATAGAAGTCATTAGAGGTCATCGCTTTGGCAAAGTTGTGTGTCCCAACCCAAAGGCCAACAAATTAAAAGAGCGTCTCTTAATTGAGAAGTCTCTTATAATGAGGTGTCTATTAAATAGAGGGTATCGCTTTGGCAACTGTTTGTCCCCGACCAAAGGCCAACAAATTAAAAGAGCGTCTCTTAAATTGAGGTGTTTCTTATAATGACCTGTCCTTTATAATGAGCGTCTCTTATAATAAGGTGACCCTTAAACAGAGGTTATCACTTAACCAGACTCCCCACCTAGTAACCACCCAAAATAAATCTAAAGCCCGGAATTTTTCTTCTAAATAGAGGTGTATCTAATATTGGAGGGTATCTAATATTGGGGTATCTTATAACGAGGTTCAAAATACCTTATTATTTAAATGTTCAATTAAATGTTCAAAAATACCAAAACCAAAATATTTCCAACAAGATTGTGCCAACAAAATCATTGTTAAAAATAAAAAACTTGTAGTTTCATTCATTTCAGCAGATAAAGAACGTTGACATTTTGTAAAAGATAACCAACAAATATGAAATAAAAGTAACTTGAAAATAAAAAATGTATATAAATTTTAAAAGAAAAAACAAAAAAAAATCCAACAAAGGATTCGAACCTTCAATGAAAATAGAGTGTAGTCTGTGACTATACCACTACACTACAACAGCTTTCAATTTCCTTCTTTACTAGAGTCCGGAATTTTGTAGGGAATACTGAATAATACCGATACTGATAAAATTCGAAATTTTACCATAACGTATTCCCTAACTACCGACGGTAGTACCGATAAATACCGAAAAATACCGTCGGTAGTTCTTTGGGAGTACCGCGTGAATACTTGGATGCCGAAAACATCCTCAAGTAGTCAGTCCTCCTAGAAACAAGTGAAACATCCGGAGGTCTACTAAAATAGTCGGGAGGTATAAAATGAATTTGAATTAGAACCGTAATTTCTAGAAATTTTTATAAGGTACCGTCCGGGCTCTATTCTCCACAATATGTGAGAATTAGAGGAGGGTATCGCTTAGGCAGGGTATCTCTTAATCAAGAGAAGAGAAAGGCAAAAATTTAAAGGATAGTGGAGTTTACTTGATAGCAAGGGCGTAGCCAAGGGGTCGATTTCAGGGGGCTAAAACGAGGTATATTACTTTGACTTTCCTACGGAGTAAGTCCCCCTTGGTTACTCCCTTGCTTGATAACATGAAAAATTCTTTAGAGAATTTTTTTAATAAAATTGTAAAAATTCTAAACCTGTATATACAAAAAAGTGTGTTTTTGATTTTCAAGTTGAACCCAAACTGGCTCCTAAAAATAAATTAGAGTCCACAAAAATTTTTTTTAATTTAAAAAAAACCTGAGAAATTACAAGTGCTGGAAACTTGATTAGTTCATCATCTTCATTCTCTTCTTTTAAATTATTAATTTCTTTAATTAATTCAATTCCCAATTCAAAAGCCAATTTAAGTTTTCTTTCAACAATTAATATTTTTAAATATAAAATTTTCATAAATAAATTTTGAAGGGGCAATTCTTTTGTTGAATCGAACAACTATGGGGAAAAACAAAATATTTTTTAAGGTTCTAATTGAGTTTATGAGTCCCATAAAATCGTAGATTGAATAGAATTAGAGGTTTCAGACCCCTTAAAGTTTTTTGGAGTTCCGCTTTTTAAAATAAAAAGAAAAGCGGAAACTTTTTAAAAATTTACTAAAGCCTTGCCAAAATTTTAAAATAAAAAAATTAAATTAGAAAAATAACTACAAAGGCAGAATCGAACCACCATAAAAACGTCTTGTAGCCGAAAACAATACCACTACACCACAACAATCCTTAACTGGACTCTCTTAATATGTTACATAATTAAGAGGTAAATTAACGAATTTCCCAAGTCAACTGACCCTAGATTCCGAACTCCAAAAAATGTTAAAGAACAACTCTGAACCCCCAAAAAATTCTAGGGAATTCATAAATCGAAAAAGAACCAAAAAAAATTAATTAAAAAAAGAAACCTTCAAATAAAATTCTTTTGCCAATTTCCAATTTTCTGAAGCCATTAAAGCCAAAATAGAAATTGAATAAATATTTGGAATTAATAATTTTAAACAATTTAGTTCTTGATTAATTATATTAAAAGAATTATTAATTGAGGAATTGAAAAGTAAATTTAGTAATTTTATTGGTGATTTGAGGTTTTGATTTATCTAAAAAATTAAAAAAGAAGGTCAATAAATACTTTCAAAAATGCCTCAGTTTAGGCGGAATGGGTCACCTTACATGAGTGACAGTCAGAGTTGACCAACTATTTTCTAGGAGACTCAAAAAAAAAATAAAAAAAAATTTCCACCCCAGATAGGTCTGGGTAGTGGCCCCACAAAAGATCCGAGTACAATTTCAGCTCGAAGAATTAAAAAATAAATACAAATACTCAAAACCCCCTCAATTTAGACAAAATGTGTCATCTGACATGAGCGCCAGCCAAAGTTATGATCAACTATACCTTTTTAGCCCACAACCAACCACACCCTCCCCCTCCCTCAAAATAATAAAAAAACAATTTTTCAGCCATCCACAGGTCCGGGTATCAGCCCCACAAAAGATCCAAGTACAATTTCAGCTCGAAGAATTAAAAAATAAATACAAATACTCAAAACCCCCTCAATTTAGACAAAATGTGTCATCTGACATGAGCGCCAGCCAAAGTTATGATCAACTATACCTTTTTAGCCCACAACCAACCACACCCTCCCCCTCCCTCAAAATAATAAAAAAACAATTTTTCAGCCATCCACAGGTCCGGGTATCAGCCCCACAAAAGATCCAAGTATAAATTTCAAAAAAAAATCTAAAAAACCTTCAATCCTTCCTTTTCTTGTTTTATTTCTTCAATTTCAGCAGGAGAATCTTCTTCCTCAACATCCAAGTTGTAAAGCCAAAAATGTTCAAAACCACTAGAATCTACCCAAAAAATATTTGCTGGGACATAAACAAATTGAGTGGAAAAATCTAAAAAAAAAAAGAAAATTTTTGGGACTTAAGAAGAGCTGGTATTCTTGTGGAGTTTTTGCGGATAATTTTTGCAGTCTCTTCTTTTTCTTTTTTTGTTGTTTTGCTTTGACACTCGATCAGAAATCAAATCAGCAGACATTTGACGGAAAAAGACATTCGTCCACAAAAATTCGTCAGCAAAACCTGTCGACCAAAATTTTGTTCGCAAAAAATGTCCGCAAAAATATCCTCAAAAATACCAGCTCTCCATTAAAAATTAACAAAAAACCTTTTTGAACATCTTTTAAAGGAGAAGCAATAATCCAATAAATTACAAATTTAACAAATTCAGAGATTTCTAGCAATTGTTTAGCATCCTCATTAATTAATATTTTTTCTAAATTTTCTCCAATTTTTTCGTTGCTAAAAGGAATTTGTTCTAACATTTTGGCTAAATTTGAATGACCACGTTGTTGTAATATATGAGACAATATTGGTAAACAAAAATGCCAACATTTTGACGGGCGGTCAAATTTTGATAAAATTGAGATACCTGGACGGCTTGAAAATTATTTTAGTCAAACCTCATTAGAAGATACCCCCAATACTGAAACTTATATTTAAGAGACGCTCATTAAAATGTGATTGGCCACTGGGTAGAGGAGCTTCCTAGCGAATTTTCTAGCTTATGTTAGGCTAGAATATGGGTTATCTTATAATAATGAGGTGTAGCTTAAATAGAAGGCACTCTACTTAAGGTGCACCCCATTATAAGACCCTCATTATAAGATTTAATTTTCACAGCAACAAGAGGCGTAGTCACTAGTATGGTCCTATACCCTCCTGTGCTTTCTCAGACCCAAGGGGGTATTTTAAAGTGAGATTTGACTGAAGTTAATAAAATTTAACAAAATAAAAACCTATAAAAATCATCCGGAATTCTTCCAATAGAATCAGCAAAACAATTTTTCAAAATAATTTGATATATTTGAGTAATATTGTGAAGAGATAAATCACCAAATTTTGACTGAATTAGACTATCAAAGAGGCGAACTTAAAAAATTTATAAAATATTTTTGCGGATAAAGTTTGCGGACACTTTTTTGTCCGCAAAAAAATTAGAAATTTTTTAAAATTTAAAAAATTTACATAAAACAGCATCCATAGCAGTTATCCCTTCTTCTCTTCCTTCTTTTGTAATTTTATCTAATTGGAATTCCCCGCTAGCGCCCAGATAATAAGCAAAAAGTTTTGTCTAAAAAATAAATTAAATTAAAAAATTAAAATTAAAAATTAACCGCAACATTATATAAACTGTTTGGTTGATTACAGGCAAAGGTTAAATAAACTTGTAAACTTCCTTTTGTTGAATTTCGTTGTTCCGGAAAGGCAAAGAAAAACATTTCTTGTAAAATATCCATATTTAATTCGCCTACTAATTCTGAAAATTAAATTTTTTGTGTTTTCAGTAGTTTTTAAAAAATTTTACACGGTCCCAAATTCGTTAAATTAATTTATTTTACAAATTTAAATGTTTAAAAAGCAAAAATAAATCGATTAACGACCAACGGGTTCGAACCCAAGACCCCCAATTTGCGCCTAAACCACTTCACCAAACACCTCCTAAAGAAACTTCCGTAATTTCCAGCCTTGTATTACCCATTAAAAATAACTTTTAAAACAAACCAGAAGAAAAAAGTTTATCAGAATTTCCATCGAGCAAAACAGAAAATAGTTGACCTATTCTTTGACGAACCTTTTCTGATTTGTCTAATTGATAACTGAAAAAAAAATTTATTAAAAAATAAAATAATAAAACAAACATTTTCTGTGCATTAAAGCTCAAATCCTTCGCATTTCGAAATTTCAGGGCAATATCAAATTCTAATAAATTAAATTCTAAAGGTCCAAATTCACTTTCTAAAGTTAACATTCTCGATTTTCTTGCCCAATAAGACTGTGAACAGGGAAAAGAATTTAGTTCATTGAGTACTGACAAATATTTTTGTTGATCTGTTGAAGTTGTAGCTGTTGTGTTATTAGTTGACATTTGAATTAATTTTTTTAGAAATTTATAGAAAAAAATCTGACAGAAATTTCAAAGATTTTTGAGGTATGGCCGGTTCAGTGCCAGCCTGTAAAAATTGAAATTTATGGGACGGTTGAGAACGGTCAGTTAAGCGCAGGCAGACAGATTTTTGATAAGAAATGAGACACTTAATCGCAGACCTCTTTCGAAAGGAAGGATCCCTGACAAAGGAGAGTGTTTTGGGTGTCCGTGGGACTTCGAGATGAAATTTGGTAGGTAGGTAGATCATACCCTTTCTATTGCAAAACTCGAAACCGTTTCCGCTGAATGGTACCATGGGCCAAGTTATAAGCTCCCAAAATTTTAGGATCCCCCCATATAAACACTTTCTATTCAGTTATAAATGTGTTCATCGGTGGTTCAGTGGTAGCGTTCTTGCATTTTAGTTTTTCCCCCAGGTTCGAATCCTGATGCTGGAAATTAATTTATTTTAACATAATTTTAGTTTTTTTTATTTTGTGATTTTTATCCGAATGTTTTTAGCCAAAAATTTTTTAAAAACTTTTTTTTAATTTCTTAAATATTTATTTCTTCCTTGTGGTTACTCCTTTCTTTGAAAAGTATTTTCAAAAAATTTTTAAAAATTTTTTTAAAATAATAGAAAATTTTTAAAACATTTTAAAAATAAAATATTCAAAAATAAAATTGAAAATTATGTTAAAATAAATTAATTTCCTCTATCAGGATTCGAACTTGGGGGAAAAAATTAAATTCAAGAACGCTACCACTGCACCACCGCAGAACACATTTGTTAATATTACAAAATTGTTTATGAGTAGAAAAGAAAACTGAGGGGGATCCTAAAATTTTGGGAGCTTATAACTTGGCCCACGGTACCATTCAGCGGAAACGGTTTCGAGTTTTGCAATAGAAAGGGTATGATCTACCTACCTACCAAATTTCATCTCGAAGTCCCACGGACACCCAAAACACTCTCCTTTGTGAGTGATTTTGGTACTATGGTACTAATCGTTAACGCAGAAAAGCTGCAAAACAGGAGAAAATTTTTAACAAAAACCATAACCAGTTATCAGTCTGCGACTAATTGACCTCGCGACCAAATGTCCGCTCAAATTAATAAAATATACAAAATGCCAAAAATAAAATATAATTTTTATTTTCAATTTTTTCTTATTAAAAATAATTTTTTTCCAATCATTATCTCTTCACATTTTTCGCTTTTGTAAAGTTTTTTTACTTCTAAACATTTTCCTTTTTATTTTATTACCAATTTTGTACAGCTGCTAATGTCTCGCTTTTACATTTCACAATTTTTCTTTTTTCTCTTTATTAACGCTCTCAATATCTATAAAATATATTAACGGTTCTTCTCCTATATTAAAATAAAAGAGGAGGAAAAAGGCTGTAAATGATTGACTATATAAAAAAATTTAATAAAAAAAGGTGTTGATAACGGCCTAACCAACTAAACAGTCTACCACAACCTTCCTCTCCTTTCCCATTTTTGCCAATACCACATTTTGCCAATAAGGCTAAAATCACTCATTTTGTCAACAAATTTGTCGACAAAATGTGGAGTTTTTAGCCTTATTGGCGAAATGTGGGGGGAGCCCTTTCTTTCCTCCTCTTTCCTCTTCTCTTCATTTTTGCCAAACTTTTTCCTTCGTTTCTTTTTCTCTTCCCATATTTGTCAAACAATCTGTCAATCGTTTCCCCCACTTTCAAACAAAAAAAGTTTTTTTTATTTTAGTTTAATCTTCAATTTCCCCATTCCAACTCTTTAAATTGTCTCATTAAAATATTCCCATATTAAGAATTCTTTTCTTAAATCTCTAGACAGTTAAAAAGTGATCTAAAAAATGATTAGAATAGTGGGAAAATTGATCAAACTAGAAAATATTTATTTATTTTTATTTATCAGTTCAGAAAAAATTATTTTCCCTATCTGGGGTTCGAACCCCTGCCCCATTTTGTTATAAACCCTAGCATTTTCCCACTACACCAAAATATCTTTTTCCAAGCCTTGCCTGTTGAAGACCCAATATGGTAAGATTAGGTCCATTAAGCTTCATTCTATATAGTCAAACCTCACTATAGAATACCCCCTATATAAGATACACTCTCTTTTTAAGAGACCCTTTTTAAAATTTGTTTAGCCAACTGTGTGGGGGAGCTTCTCAAGTGAACCCCTCTATTTAAGAGACACCCCATTATAGGATATAATTTTTCAATCCCAAGGGGTTAGGTATCTTATAATGAGATCCGACTGTACTTGTATACAATTCATTAATTACCCAACACCTTTTCTCCATTTTCTATTCAAATAACAATAAAAGTGCACACTAAAATTGACTAGACACACACACCTTTCTATCGAGACTGTCTACATTTTCTGTCTAATAAATAAAATAAAATACAGTTGAGCAAACCAAACAAGCCTTTCTGTTAAAAAAATTTTTTCTGTCCATTTTCAACCAATCATTCGTTTAAAGCTTCAATTTTTCTTTCATCAGTTTTTAAGGTTTTTTGCCTGTTTTTCCACGTTTCTGCCTTCACAAAGCCTTTAAATAAATTTTTATTTTTCATTGTTTCCCTTATCTTTCTCTTTATTATTATTATTTTTTAGGGTTGTCCCAATTCTCTCTCGACTCTTTTAGCTCAATAAAAATGCAAAGTATTAAAATTTATAAGAGACACATTTTTATCAAAAAGGAATCTCGTTTTTAATTCTCCATGATTTTTCTATATTTTATTAAACAATTTTCATAATATTCAGAAATAAAATATTTTTCCGACTAATTCTTTTAGATCTCTTAATTAAACACACTCGGACCTCGTTATAAGATACCCCTTAAATTGAAAAATCGCTTATACTGAAGTGTCTATTAAATAGAGGGTATCCCTTGGAAGCTACTCCCACCCAGTAACCAATCGATTTTTAAGGAGCGTCTCTTAAATAGAGGTGTATCCAGTATTGGGGGTGTCTTATAGCGAGGTCTGACTGGGGTGTCACTTAAATAGAGGGTATCGCTTAGACAGGCTACCCATACCCATTGGCCTAGTAGTGTATCTAACAAAATTTTGTCTCTTATAATGGGTGTATGTTAAATAGGGGGTATTTCTTGAAAGAAAAAGGAGCGTCTATTGGGTGTACCTTATAATGAGTGTTTCATGTTTTATTTAAACTACAAAAAAGCCTTTCATTTCTCTCTCATTTTTATCTTCCCAATCAAGCAATTTATTGATAAGAGCAACCAACATTTTAATATCGAGCAAGAAAAAAATTTTTTCCACCTTTTATTAGTAATAAATATATTTAACCAGTCATTTTATTTTGTATTTTACAACACAAAACATTTAAAAAGCAAGAAAAATTTTGCCTTAAATGATAAAAGGCTTTTCTTAAAACAACTATAAAAGCAACACAAAAACATTAAAGAAAATTTTTTTTGTGTTCGTTGTTGAGTCAACATCAAACAAAAAAAAAAAAACAAAAAAATACCTTTTCCCTCAACAAAAATTAATTTTATTTATTTCTTAAAACAACACTAGAATTTAATTAAAATTTTTAAAAGGAAATTTTTTCATGGTTTAAGTGGAGAAATGAATATCACTGTTTAATCCACATTTGTGGAAAATAAAGCCTAGTGAGATTCTTTTTCTCCATTTGCCCCGTGAAATATGCCTAAAAGATCTGTTGATTAAAAAGAAATATTAATTAGAGAGAATCGGTTCCAAAAAATCAGGAAATTTTCGGTTCGATATCGAGGATATCCTGATATCCGAAGATTAGCCAATTCTACCAATCCTAACCGGAATTCCTTCCGAAGACAAGAGCGGAAGAGACGCCTCCCAAAAAATCTGTTTGAACGAGATCTAGTCTCGTTTTTACCGATACATCTACAAGCTCTCTATTCACCCAAAGTCAAAAATAATGCCCTCAGGCATTATTCAACACGAATAAAATATTTAAAAGCTCTTTTAATTAATTTAATTAAAAATTAATGAGTTCATTTTATATAACTAAAATTCTTTCTCTGAATTTTTATAATAAATCAACATCACTCATTGTTGTTGTTTTTATTATATTTTCTGTTGATTCCAATCCGAGAGAGCGATAGGCATAACAGGTAACTTGGTGAATGAAAAGATTAAATTTTTTAAAGATTTAAAATTATTTTACCATTCCCAAGAGATGATTGACAAAATGTATCGGTATATGCTACATAAGAAAATTCTCCTTTTGCACAAATAACCTTTGAAAAATAATTTTTAATGAATTAAATAGTCAAACCCTCATTATAAGATATACCCTTGGGACTGAAAAAATCGTGCCTTATAATGAGCGTCTGTTAAACAGAGGGTATCACTTGGAAAGCTCCCCACCCAGTGGGGCCAACGAGATTTTAAAGAGCGTCTCTTAACAGGAGTGTATCTTATAATAGTGGTATCTTATAATGAGTGTATGTTAAATAGAGGGTATTGCTTGGGAGAGAAGAACGCCTATTTGGGGTGCCTTATAATGAGGTTTTTAATTTAAAAATTATTTTTTATTTTACATTAATTTTTGCAAAAAGTTTTTCTTCAGCTACTTTTTGTATTGCTCCTGAAAATTAAGAAAATAATTTTTTAATTTTTTAAATTACTCTTTGAAGTATTCGGATCATCACCAATTATATTCTCTTGTATAGCTGTTCTAAGTTTTCTACTGTTGCAGGTTGGATCGTCTTCTGTTTGGTCTTCTGTTGGTGCGGCAAATATTTGGGAACCTTTAAATATAAATAGTCAAAACCTCACTTGTGAGTACCCCCTCTAGAAGCTGAAAAAACCGTACCTTATAATGAGGGGTATCTTAAAATGAGGTTTTTCTCTTAGCGTATATAATACTGACAACTGAGAGTTCCTCACCGTGTGTTCTAGCTCTCCCCATATACCGGCATGGAGTACTGCATTGACAGCAACAATCATTGCTTGGATAGCCTGAGGGCAAATTTAAAATAATTGTTTTAATTTAATCAAACCTCCCAAAGGATATCCAATTTGTGGACCTCCAAAACCTCCTCCAAATCCACCAATTTGTGGGCAGGTACAGGGTGTTGGCAAGGGGCAGGGTGGAGGAGGCGGAAGAGGTGGGGGACATGGCAGTGGTGGAAGTGGAGGGGGACAGATGACCGGTGGAGGGCAAAATGTTGGTGGACAGGGAATTGGTGGAGGGCAGGGCTGAAAAATTAAAAATTATTGAAAAATATTTTTTTCAATACAATAGCTGGTGGACATGGAGGCGGGCAAGGAGGAGGACATGGAAGTTGTAATTGAGGTAATTGGAAGGGTGGGCGTATTCCGCAACCACCGAAAAGGCCTTGTCCAGTTGTAAAAATAAATAGAGAAGATATTAAATAATATTTAAATAACATCTGTTTTTGATATACAGTCGGACCTCATTATAAGATACCCTCACTATAAGGTACCCTCAGATAACACACACCTCTATTTAAAAGATGTTTTTTTAAATTTGGTTGTCTATTGGGTAGGGGAGCTACCCAGACGATACCCTCTATTTAGGATACACCCTTGGGTATCTAATAATGAGGTTTATTAGAGGTGTATCACCCAATATAAGGTGCACCTATTTATGGTATTCTCTTTTAAGTTAGTTGACTACTAAGCTGGGGAAGCTTTTTAAAATATATCCTCTATTTAAGATACATTTCATTATAAGAGACTTTTTTCAGCCCCAAGGGTTGTATCCCATAACGAGGTCCGACTGTTCTAAAAAAATATTTTTCCAAAAATTTTATTTATTTGAGACTGAACTATATTGTGTTTTCAAACCCTCTTTTAAATAGTTCAAACAAAATAGAATGCGATTATCATTCCATTCATTTGTTCACACAATAAATGTCCTCTCCCTGCGCCCCTTAAAAAAGCTTGTCCTTCCTCTCTTCCATAGCCTAAGGGTATTATTTACCTATTTAGCGACCTTGGCCCTTCTCTTTCCTTCTCCGGCTAAATAAATTGTTTTTTGCTTCTTCCTTGTTTCATTTGCGCTGTGAAACCGCCAGAGGAACATAAATTGATGACGTTAATATATGGAATGGAGATGACGCATAAATAGGTAAATGGAAATGAAAATATTTGGAAATTCCAGAAAGATTAAATATAAATTAGGAGATAACCTCATTAGAAGATACAACCTTGGAACAGAAAAAAATCATACATAACTAGGGTTGCCGGCCCGGGCCGGTTAAGCTCCTAGCCTGTGTCCTAGCCTGTGCTGCTGTGTGTGTTCACTTACCCGGACCAGTCCGAAAGATCGAGTTGGGTATCGAATTTTGGCCCAAAAAAGAGGCCGGGCCGGCCCAATAATCTTTGGGACTCTCACCTCCTCCTATCTCCTCCTCTCACCCATCACGTCCACTCTTAAGTGTCCACTTCATCCCGAGTGGTGTCGTTATGGAGCTTCCGTTGTATTATAATTAAGAGTATTTTAAGCCCCTCTCTTTTTTAAATATTTTTCAGCTTGTTCTAATTAAAAAAGTTCCTTTTTTTATTCACCTTGAAAATTAATTCTTTTTTCTCCAGTTCCGGTCATTCTTTTGTTGTTTTGAGGGGGGAATTTTTCGTGGTTTATTATTAAAATGAAAAAAATAATTTTTTCTTTTTTTATTTTTCTACAAAAAGTAACAATAATAAACATTTTTTATATTTTATTTTTAAATATAAAATTTTTAAATGCTTGTATGACGGCTATGATAGCACAACCAATACCTGGTTTTCCCCTCCTTTAAAAAATTTCAAAAAAATTATTTTTCTTAGCCTGTGCTGCTTGTTCCCTTACCCAATTAATGTTAACTCCAGGGAATGGAATGACATCAAGTACTCCGGTTAGATAAAAATATTTTAAGAAAGTTAGACCTCATAAGATACATCATCTTCAAGGCTGAGTTGCGCACTATAATGAGGTGTCTCACACAGGGGTATCTATTGGTATCCTATAGTGGGGTATTTATAAATCAGGGGGTATTATAAGAGAGGGTGTCATGTACTGAGGTGTATCTTAAACAAGTGTATATTATAATGGGGCGTATATTAGATAGAGGAGTACCTAGTCTCTTATAGTGGGGTGTATCCATTATCCTAAATGGAGGTTACCTGATTTTAATTTTTTAAGATCCCCTCAGGCATAGTACTCGATCCAAGTGGTTGCTCACACCTTATGGTCACTTGTATGGCATTAAATGGCGCTAGTGTATTTATGCGCGTAATTAATTTTTTTTTAATTTAAAAATTAATTTCTAAAGTTTAATATAAACGAAGGAGGGCCTGTAAGTAATCCAGGCAGTACACTAGTTACGGCCACCTTAGATTGTGTTGGTGGACAATGGATGTTTCAACAAGGAGGAATTGACAGAATTGTTAATGAAATAAATTGTCAAAATGAATTTTAAAATGAGAAAATCTTTAAAAAATTTTTCGAAAAATTTTCTTTTTGAATTTTCCGAAAAAAATTTCATTTTGAAATTTTTTTTGAAATTTTGAAAATTTTTTTTCCTAAATTTTAGGGGTCGTGGGTTCGAACCCGCGTGGGGGAATCAATTTTTTAATTAATAAAATCAACCACAAAATAACTTAAAATATATATTAATTAATTATTAAATTAATTTTTAAACAGAGAAAACAATTAAAAATTACGAAAAAATTTTTAAAAGTTAGGCAGCTTTTTAAATATATTTTTTATATAAGGGCGAATCTTTGAATTGTTTGGATATATTTTTTAGATGAATTTTTTTTTGTTTTTTAGAGAGATTCGAAAAAAAATTTTGAGAAAAGGGGAGGAAAGGAGAGGTAATAATTATATAAAAATTGGCCGAACCTCATTACAAGATACCCCTGAAAAAATCGTACCTTATAAGAGACACCCAGAGACACCTTCACAGCTTCTCAACTAATGTCCAGCCAAATTTTAAAGAGTGTCTCTTAAATTAAGGTGTATATTATATTGAGTGTCACCCTCTATTTAATATACACCTCATTATTAGACCTCAAAGGTGTTGTCTTAAATAGAGGTGTGTCTAGTTCTCTTATAAAGAGAGGTTCGGCTTTAAAATAAAATTTAAAAATAAAAAAAACCCTGTACAATAAACATTTTCAAGCTCTTTTGAAGTTTTCTTCTTCCTCCACTAAAATTTTTGTTGTTTCAACTTCCATTACTTTCCTCACTACTATAATCATCATCTTCTTCTTCATCTAAATCATCCTCATCTGTAAATGCTTGTCGCCGTCTTGCCATTGGAATTGGTTTTAAATTTTTCTTTTTAATATTATTGTCTTCAATTTGGTTGTTATTGTTATTGTTGGCGTGTTGGGCTAAATGAATATTTTTAAAAATACAATCAAAATTTCCCTTGATTGAAAATTTGTATTCTATAATGAGACGCTTCTTAAATGTTGGGTATCGCTTAGACTACACTCCACACCCCGTGACCAACCAAATTAAAAAAGTATCTTATTGAAGGGTCTCATTACAAGATATCCTTAATATTAGATACACCTCTATTTAAGATACGCTCCTTAAAATTTGGTCAACTACAGGGTGTGGGAAATGCCTAACCTATACCCTCCATTTAAGAGACAGCCCAATTACAAGATACGATTTCAAGGGAGTATCTCACAATGAACTCTGACTTATAATCAAGTAAAAAAATTTTTTAAAAATTTTCTGCAAACCTATTGGAGTACTATGTACAATATTATTATTAGAACAACATCCTCCATTTTTATTAACATTTCCATTTTCAACAACAAAATTTCCAGCCAAAATATTTGAACAATTATTTGGAGCAGGTGAAGGAACATTAATTCCACCACCAACAGAAGAATATCCTCCTCCTTGTCTTAAATTTCTATTAGACAAATATCCATTTGTTGGTCCTCCAATATTTGATGTTGTTATTCCACTTCCAGAACCTCCAGAATTTACAGAACTTGTAGCTCGATGTTGTTGGATATGTAAAGCAGATGTTTGGTTTGATTGACACCATTTCTATAGAAAAATTTTTTAAATAAAAGAGAGAGAGGCAAAAGTTTAACACAAGGTAGGCCTCAAACCTTCGACCTCCTGACAGTTATTATTGCTAGTAGCTTTCGCTCACAAACGTTCAGGTACTCGACAGACAAGGGTGAGTCAAGTTACCCGAACCACGAGTCGAAACCAACCCAACACTTTTTCTAATACCAGCCCGACCCTCCCTGCTCTACCACGAATTTTAAACTATCTGGGGCACCACGCTCTACCACCGGTATGCAAATCGAAAATTTTTTGCTATCCCGAAATCTTTTCAGAAAATCAAAGACATATCCCAACACTCAAAAATTTAATTTTTCCTAATAAAAAACTTTAAAGAAAACCTGAAATTTCGAATTTAATTCAGCAAATGTCGGTCTACGGCTAGCATTTTCATTAAAACATTCAACCATTTGTGCATAAACAGCAGGAGGGCAAAATTCTGGGATAGCTAAATAACTTCCTTCTTGGACAAATTGAATAACTTGTTCGTCTGTACAGCCTTCATAAGGTTGCCCTTTAAAAAAAATTTTTTTAAGGCCTCAAAAATTTTCAAAAAATTTACTTCCATAGGTATAAATTTCCCATAAACAAACACCAAAAGAATAAACATCGCTAGCTTGTCCATATCTTCCTTCATTTAATGCTTCTTTTGACATCCAACGAAGTGGAACACCTCTACAACTGCTGTTTAGCTGTAAAAAAGAAAAAAATTGAATTTTCAAAATAATTTTTAATGACAATTGCGAACACAATTGCTAATACGACAATTGCGAAAACAACTGCAAATGCGACAACTGTGAACACAATTGAAAAACCGACAATTTTGAACACAACTGCAAATACGACAATTGCGAACACACTTATGAAAACGAGATTCGAGAACACAATTACAAACCCGACAAATGTAAACACAGTTGAAAAACCGACAATTACGAAACCAATCGCAAAAATATTTGGAACAGAATTGCAGAAACGACAATTTCAAACCCTAAAAATAATAAAAAAAATGCAAACCCTATAATAATCCCGTTCATATTGGCTTTTCATCCTCGCAAAATTACAAATTTTAATAATTTGTTGATCACCAACTAAACAATTTCTTGCAGAAAGGTCTTTATGTACAAATCCATTTGAAGCCAAATAAGCCATTCCACAAGTTATTTGAGTTGAAATTTTGAGAAAATCTTGAACATTTCTTTGCCTTTCTTCTTGCTCATCCTGTTCATTTTCGCCTCTAGGCTCTCTAACTTTTAAAAATTCAATCAAATCTCCATGAACCATATAATCAAAAACGGCACACAAATTTCTTCCACCAAGAAAACTGACGCCAAAAAGACGCAAAATGTTTGGGTGCTCAAAAAACCCAATGGCTTGAATTTCTTCTTTAAATTGCTCTTCTGCTACGTGTTGAGGAATATTTGATTTTAAGGTTTTTAGAACAACCTGATGAAATAAAAAAAATATTTTTAGGAATAAAAATATAACGTCAGACCTCGTTATAAGGAGACACATCTACATAAAAGAATCTCTAGTTAAGAGACCCTTTAAGTAATACACACCTCTATTTAATAGACACCCCATTTTAAGAGACACCCCATTATTAGAGACACCTCCACTTAAAAGGTACCCTCTATTTAATAGACACCTCTATTTAATAGACACCTCCACTTAAAAAACCCTCTATTTAAGAGACCTCTCGTTATAAAAGACAATTTCAAACGCCACGGGTATCATATAATGAGGTCTGACTCCAAAAAATTTTCAAAAAAAGGCAAACTTGTAAAGCAGCTCCACTCAACATTCCTCCAACCCATTCACCCAAAATTAATTGTGTACTTGCATCTTCACCCAAAATTCGGTCCAAAAATTTAATTTGACGTTCTTGTATATGTGCAATTTGATATGGTTCTGCAGGTGGTGGTTCAGTATGTGGACTGTTGTTGTATGGCTACAAAATTTAAAATTTTTAAATGAAACGACAAAATGACACAATGACATTTTGTCAAAGTTACATTATGTCTAAATGTCATTTTGTCGCTATGACATTTAGTCTAACAGACATTTTGCCTAAAACTTAAAAGAAAAAACCTGTTGAGATTTGATAGATTGTGGAGCATAATAAGACCCATGTTGAGGATATGCTACTGCAGAATTTAAAGTTCCACTATTTTCCCAATATCTAAATTGTTGTTGTTGGGGCATTTCAAATAATTGTTGTTGTTGCTGTTGATATCCACCAGAAGCTACATGATATTGTTCAGAAAGTAAAGGATTAAGTAACTCTTCATTACAACATCCTCCCCCTCCTCCTTGCCTCATTCTTTCATCTCTAACTTTTCTATAAAAAGCAGAATTCATATCACTTCCAGAGAGTGTAGTTGACCCCCCTCCACCACCTCCAGCACTTCCTCCTCCTCCCCCAACAAGTCCCTGGGGGTTTATCCCATTACAATTATGTAACAAAATATTTTGTTGATGTTGTATAGCTGCTAATTTTTGTTGTTGAGCTAAACTTCCAGAAAGCATAGAACTTGCACTTTCTGGTTGTTGTAAACATTGTCCAACACAAACTTCTCCTCTTTCTCCTCCACCTCCCCCCAATCCTTCTCCTTCTCCCCCACTATTTTTAGCATATTTTCTTCTTCTTCTTCTACTTCTTCTAGTATTTTTACAACAACAAACACAACAAATAAAAAATAAAAATAAGAAAACTAAAAGTGCTCCAAGTGCTGTAGTAAAGGCTAAAAGTTGTGATTGGGTTGAAAGTGAATGCCAAAAGGAAGAAAATGAGTCGAAAATGTTATTATTTGTTGTTGTTGTTCCTATTAGAGGAGAATCATCCAATTCTTTATAAATATTTGGTGGGCAACGAGGCACCTAAAATATTAATTTTTACAGTCAGATTTCACTTAACTGAAACCTCATTCATATATACCTCTTGGGATGAAAAAATCGAAGTGTAGCCTAATAGAGATCGAGCTGGGTTCTGGGTTTTTTCTGTACCCAAAGTCCAGGCTTAAGCATTTTTTGACCTTCCTGGGTTTTTCGGGGCCTGGGTTTTTCCTGGACTACAGGCCCAGAATCCGGCCCAGGTCAATAATTCAAACCCAGGAACAGGTCCAGGCTTTTCAAAAAGCTCGATCTCTATATCCTAAATAGAGTATCGAGTCCTCCACCTATGGTCAATTGAGGGCATCCTATTAGGTTTTCTCGTATTAAAAAAATGTTCCCTTACATTGCAAGGCTCAGCAAGCAGTGACTGACCGCCTGGAGAGAAAGTATAGCACCACGGCTCACTGAACTGTGAGTGCCTTGAAGGGTTTCTGCAATAATTCTTTGCGTTTCTAAGCTCTGGATGTACTCCGGTATTAAATTCTCCATTGACTGAATTTGGCCAATCAATACAAGGCCTGTTACTTCGGGTAATTGCTGCTGTTCCTTGATATTTGGTACCAAAACCTTTGAAACACCAGTGTGATGCGGGTGAAGGGTTATTTGGAGTTGAGGGAGACTGAAAAAATAAGAAATTCGGTTCACAAAAATTTTCTTTAAAATGAACCTTAATTCCTTCAAAAATGTGTAGACAATTTTGTGCTGATAGAGGAAGTGATTCACAATTTGGAAGAAGCGCCTTTGGCCCATCACCGATTAACTCGTGATGAGAAGCCATTGAAAATTCGTTTGGACAGACAGAATTCTTTAAAAAAATAATTAAAAATATACACCCAATATAAGATACACCTCTATTTAAGAGACGCTCATTAAAAATTGGTTGGCCCCTGGAGGAAGCTGCCCAAGCGATACCCTCTATTTAAGAGACTATTTTCCCTCCAAAAGGGTATCTTATAGTAAAATCCAACTAATTTTCGAACCTTTAAATTATCACAATCCTCACGACAAAGAGAAACTATGTCAGATCCAGAAGGCAAACTTCCCAGTGAATTAATGGAAGGTTCACATATTTTGAACATGTGATAACAAGCTGTTTGATGCATATAATGTTTGCATTGTTCTGAAATGCCTGGGACAACACGGACCTGAAAAATAAAAATTTTTAAAAATTTTTGAAATTTTTGGAAATTTTTTGAAAAAAATTTCTAAAATTTTTTTCAAATTTTCTGAATTAAAAAAAAATAGAAAACAACAAACGGTCATTAACGCCGCCAACAAATCCTTTTCTGCATCATAAATACTTTCTCTATCAACCAAAACCTTCACATGTTTTCCTTCAAGAAAGGAAGAACAAGCCTCTCCTCTATAGACAATACAATCTCCTTTTCTAATTGTTTGTCCATCTAGCCAACGTCCATCCGAATCTGTTCCTCTTCTTAAAGGGACATAGCCTGGACCTGCTGCAGTGTTGGGAACTCGCCAGGAATTGTCTGGGTGTGAGTGATGGTGGTCGTTATTGTTGTTAACATTCATCTAAAAATAAAAAACGTCATTATAAGATACCCTCTAGGGCTGAAAATAGTCTCTTATAATGAGGTCTCTTATAATGAGGTGTCTATTAAATAGGGGGTATCGCTTAGGAAGCTTCCAATATCCAGCGGCTATCCAACTTTTAAAGAGCATCCATTAAAAAGAGGAGTATCTTATATTGGGTGATACCCTCAATTTAATATACACCTTATTAATAGACACATCAATGGGGTCTATTAAACAGGTATTGCCTAGGAGCTCCTCTCACACACAATAAACAGCCTAAAAAACCGTCTTTAAAATAGAGGTATTAAATAGAAACAACCTCATCATCCGGATAATTATCATAAAATCCTTCGTAATCGTTGTTTTCCTCGTCTTCACCCAAATCTTCTTCTAGTTGCTGTTTTTGTTTTAAATGGTGTCGATGATGACCACGTCGACCTCCTTCGTCAGTTGTTAATGGAGGTCTTTTTTTGTTTAAAGAAAAAGTTGAAATTGGTTGTTGGGAAACCTTTAAAAATTTCTTAAAATTTTTTAAAATTTTTTTTGAAATTTTCGGAAAAAATTTTTTTGAAAGACAAAGAAAAGGCTAAAAGGAAAAAAAAATATTGCAGAGGATAAAAATTAAGAAAAAAAAGAGAATTTTGTGAGTGCTAGAAAAGTGGCTCTACTACTAGATAGTATTTTTATTTTAATTTATTTGGAAGGGCATTGGTCATTGATTAATTGTTATTGTGTCCCAATGTTGGTGAGAATAAAAAATGTAGAAAAATGAGGAAAAAAACATCGATTTTTGTTTGTTATAAAAAAGGTTGGGAAAAGCTGCAAAATTAAAATAAAATTATAGGAAAAAAAGTTCCTAACCAACGCGAGCTAACTCTGTCGCAGGTCATAACTTGGGCTAAAGTTATGTATTGTTCGATTCAGCTCCTCGAGATGCGCCGAAACTAGCAGAGCCTCAGGGGTTTGGAAATTTTAACCCAGGTTATAGACCTGCGGCATATAGCGTTGCGCCGGAATGGTTCGCGGCGGAGTTGCTCTTCTAAAGGAAATTGTTTTTTAAGTTTAGCCTAAAAGCAACAGAATTTTTTAATTATTTAAGTGTCTTAATAGGTTATTAATGAAAGAAGAAAAGGAAGATTTTTGACCAAATATCCATCTGTTACTTTATTAAAAAATCTTTTTTTTTGTATTCTTCATCGATTATGGGCACTACGAAAAAGGAAAAAAAATTGTAGAAAAATACGAGGAACAGAAGGTGGAGGAGGAGGAGGAGAAGATTGTTGAGTGGCGGTGAGTGATTTATATTTAATAAATTACTTTTTTTTAAAAAAAGTGTTCGCCGATGATAAGATTTACTTTATTTGGAAAATATAAAAATAATTTTTTGAGAAAAAAATATAGAGAAAAAATAAGAAACAGTCAAAAACCCCCGTATAAGTTAACTCCTTTGGAGTTGAAAAAATCGTACCTTATAATGAGGTGTCTGTTAAATAGAGAGTATCGCTTGGGAAGACACCTAGTTAATGGCCGATCAAAGAGTAATATAAGGGGGTAATATTCAATTTCGTTCCCCCCCCCCCTCTTTTTTCCATCCTCAAAGTATTAAAAAATGGTCAGTCTGACTTAAGTTATAGAACTCGTCGAGCTGAGTCGAATGACACCAAAATCAAAAAAATCCGACTTGATTTGACCGAAATACAGACCCCAAAAAATTGAACAACCATAGGGGTGATTTTCTAGGCTAAAAATTTTTTATGCAAATGATAGCTCATTCGAAAGAGCTCGTCGAGCTGAGTCAAATGACACCAAAATCAACGTAATCGGACGAGTTTTGACAAAGTTATGGCATTATTTAGACATACCGGAGTCGGCAACCTTATGTCATAACTTTATCAAAACTCGTCTGATTACGTCGATTTCGGTTTCATTCGACTCAGCTCGGTTTTTCGCCCCTATGGTTGTTCAATTTTTAGGGGTCTGTATTTCGGTCAAATCAAGTCGGATTTTTTTGATTTTGGTGTCATTCGACTCAGCTCGACGAGTTCTATAAATTAAGTCAGATTGACCATTTTTTAATACTTTGAGGATGGAAAAAAAGAGGGGGGGAACAAAATTGAATATTACCTATAAGGGTATCTTATAATGAGGTATCTTAAATAGAGTGTAACGCTTAGGTAGCTTACTTCACTCAGTCACGCAGTGGCTAACCCAATTTTAAAAAGCGTCGACTAAATAGAAAGGTGTATTTAATATATCTTATAATGAGGTATCGACTATTTTTTAATTAAATTTTATTTTGTGGCTCTTGGAATAAGCCAAAATTCAATAAAAATGAGTGTCTTTTTCTATTAGAAAAAAACGAAAATTAAAAATGTTTTCAATAAATGCAAAAATGGCCAACAACAAAAAGGCTTTTGGTCATTTTTTAGCAATATTAAATTTATTGAAAGAATTTTTCATTCTCTCAAAAATGCATTAAAAAGGGTTGGAAATTAAAAAAAATTTTTTTTTGAGTGTACAGATGTGAATTTAAATAAAATTTAAATTAAAAATAAACAAACAAAAATAGAGAATTTAATTAGTGGAAGAAGAAAGAAAAAGGCCGAAAACTAGTTTAAAAAAATTAAAAAAATTCTTGTGTTAATTTATTAGAAATTTAATTTTTCCTTATCAATTTCAGAAAAAAAATAATAATAAATTTTATTTTTTAATTACCCCTACTATTTTTATTTTACTAGTCGTACATTCCCCTTTATTTAGCTTAATTTCCCATGAGAGATTTTTTTTGTCAACTTAATTGGAGGAATAAAAATTTAAATATTCTTTAGATAGAATAATTAAATTAATTTTTTATTGAAAATTTCATAGAACTTCATTACAAGATACCCCATTGTAATTAGAAATATCGTGCCTTATAATGAGGTGTCTCTTACATAGAGGGTTTTCTTAAGCAGCTCCCCCAATCTAATAGACAACCAACTCTTACGGAGCGTATCTTAAATGGAGGTGTATTTAATATTGGGAGTACTTTATAATGAGGTTTCCTAATATTGGGTGTATCTTATAACGAGGTTATTTTGTTTTTAAATAAAACTCCCCACCCTAAGCACAGCAGTACTATTAACACTTCCAGCAGCATTGCTAGCCGAGCACTGATAATACCCAGAATCTAATACATCAAGTTCCACAATAACCAACTTGCTAGTCATTTCTTTGTTTTTAAGGCGAAATCTTCTACTTTTCTCTAATGGGGCTAAATTCTTTAACCAACTGAAAAAATTGGAATTTTTTTAATTAAAGAAAATTTTATTCCCTACGTAAATTGAAGTGGAAGAGGAGAACCAGTTGCTTCACAACGCATCCTAACTTCACCTCCAATAGGTCTAGACATATTTCGAAGTCCTCCAGTTAGGCGAATATAAGGCCTTTTGCCTGTATTTGCGTCTGTCATTCTAGAAAAATAAAAATATAAGAGACTCTCGTTATAAGAGACCCTCTTGAAGCTACAGACAAACCTCCCTATAAGATACTCCCAATACTACTCAGACACTAGGGTTGTTCCCCGTGGGGGAGAGGGATGGGGGACGGAGAACAACCCTAATAGAAACACCCTCTATTTAAGAGAGGCTCGAAAATTTGGTGCTCTTGAAAATAGGGGAGCTGCCTAACTAGTTAAAATATCCCCAATATATGTCCGATTTTTCTCAGCTCCAAGGGAGTCCCTTATAGGGAGGTTTTTGACTGTATAATAGAATTGAATGAATATTCCTATTTGCGTTCCATTTTCCTATTTTTACTTTTTACTTTCTAGTCAGAAAAATGGGGCAATTATGTACATATAACAAAACTATTTGGGATAATCCATAGACTAAAACGAAAAATAAAAAAAAATTTTTTGAATAAAAAAAGCAATTTTTGGACTTTCTTTTTGCAAAAAATCTCAAAGAAATTTCAAAAAGAAAAAAAAGTAAAGAGAAAAGTTGCGGCATTTTTTTTTTTACTTTTTTTTTTATTCGCGCCACCTATTTTCACTTAAAATTCATTAATCAATTGTAAAAAAATATAACACATAAAATCCCTTATAGCTAACGTTATTTATGAGCTGATGACATGAAAGGAAGGAAAGGAAAGAGGGGGAAGGGTTTTTCTAGAGGACATAGACAAGAAAAACAATTTGCTTCCTCATAAATTTTCGGGAGTCCGGTCGATGAATGTTTGAAGAGAAAGGCACTTCGTCATTTTGCCTATAACATGTTTTGCCAATAAGGCTAAAAATACACGTTTTGCCACATGTTTGTTGACAAAATGGGAATTTTTAGCCTTATTGGCAAAATGTGGAATTGGTGAAATATGGAAAAAAGAAGAAAAAGAGGAGGAAGAGTGGAGGGGAAAAAGGAAGAGTAGTGGGGGAGGAAGTGGCCTATAAATTAGAGCAATGGGAAAGTAGGACGAAGAAGAATGGAAAAAAGAGGAAGGATTTGCCCAAGCCTTGTTGTCATCATTATTATAATAAATTTTCTCTGTTTTCTCTGCCGTCTCTCATTTTCCCCTTATCTCTCTCCAAATTTTCTCTAATTTTCTCTTCATCAATATTTGTCCATTTTAGACCATTGGCAATTTGACTGCCTCTAGAAAATTTTTCGGCAAGTGAGAGGGCTATTGAGAGAGGGCTATTGAGTAAAAATAGGAAACTGAAGTGGCCTTTAGAAAAATAAGTGGACATTGAGAGAAACAAAATATTTTTTCTCCTTTTTTTACTTCCTTCCTTCAAAATAAATACATATATCTACTTCTCTTCTCTTCAACAGAGGAAACTAGCTTATCGCTCCAGTGCATCATTCAATTTTCTATATAGATTTAAGGTTTTTCTCTACACTTTGACGAATGGGAAGAATGCGAAAAACTCAATGAAAAGGAAAAAAGTAGAGAAATATTGGGTCGAAAAATTCGAAAAGACTCGAAATTTTAACGAAAAAACCTCGAATCAGACAATCGATAGTGCCTACGGACATTTTGGCATCAAAAATGATTTTTTCTGTTTAAAACAATGAACGTATCGGTGCCTAGAAAAGGATTTGTGCCTAGAACTAGAGGTCGGCAAAATCACATTTACGTGATCCCGTAATGGGACTCTTCAAAATATTTACGGGACAGGATTCCGTGGGATTAATCGGTAATATTCAATTTCGTTCCCCCCCCCTCCCCCCTCCTTTTTTCCATCCTCAAAGTATTAAAAAATGGTCAGTCTGACTTAAGTTATAGAACTCGTCGAGCTGAGTCGAATGACACCGAAATAGACGTAATCAGACGAGTTTTGACAAAGTTATAACATAAGGTTGCCGACTCCGGTAGGTCTAAATAATGCCATAACTTTGTCAAAACTGGTCCGATTACATTGATTTCGGTATCATTCAACTCAGCTCGACGAGTTCTATAACTTAAGTCAGACTGACCATTTCTTAATACTTTGAGGAAGGAAAAAAGGAGGGGGGGGAACGAAATTGAATATTACCGATTAATCCAGTAAATCCTGTACTCCCGATAATCCCGTTATTTGCTTAAAATACGGGATTTAGGTACAGGATTCCGTAAAATCCCGTACGGGATCCTGTCCCATGCTGACCTCTACCTAGGACGTTTTGGCGTCTAGACAAACTAGGCGGAATGGGCCTTGATCGCCAGCCGACTTTGATGGCTACAACTTTATTTAGCTTGATTAATCCGATTGAAACTTGTATCATTCGGAAGCCCTCGATTGCTCCTAAAAAATAACGAAATTGATGGCTAGAAAAAATAACGGGAATATTCAATTTTTTCTCTAACTACTCTCCTTATTTCGTGTACTATTTCTCCTTTATTTTTTAACGAGAAAAATATTAAAAAATAAACTCACGTAGAATTGTAATCCCCATAGACAACGTCATAATCTCCAGCAGGTTCAATAAAAAGCCCGTCATCATAAGGCTTGGGACCCATTCTTTAATGTAGTCAATTAAATTTTAATTTTTTTGATTAAATTCATGTCGTTTGGTGTGGCATAATTAATTAAAATAAATAAATTAAATTAAAAAAATTCTGAAAAAAAATATTTAGGGTGTGGTTATTTGTTGTTGTTAACCTTAAAAATAAATAAAAACGTAAAAGTAAGTCGTTCCACGTCTTGTTCAGTTTTTTGGGTAATAAAAAAAGAGCTGATTTTAAAGAATAAATTGAAAATGGAGGTAAAACCGAGTCGAGATCTCGAACAGAAATTGAGGTTATACAGACCAATATTTATCGAAATATCGATTCTCGCACGACCCTACCAGTCCTGTTTCTATTAAAGCAATTTTTAAAGTTTCGCGCCGAAACGACTGCGCCGAAATTGCAAGCTTTAAACAGGTGGAAATCGAGCGAGGTACCATAACTTGCCATGACTTGTACCATAACGATCGGTGTACCACGACTTGCCTGATTTTAGACCAATTAGAGTCGAAAGGTCGCACGAATTACTTTTTTAATTTAGGGATTCTTTTTCTTAAAGCCGAGTTGATTCGGACGGTGTTGCGATAATTCCGGACGACGATTGACCGACAATCGCGTTTACACCCTATCGCTAGAGGTGTTAAAAATTTAATTGAGAAGGGACAATTATTGGAAGGAGGGAGTAATTAATCAAAGAAATACGATATTTAAATTTCCTGAGATGGCATAAAGCATAGTGCTTTTTTAATTTAAAAAATCCCAGAATTTTAACGATTAGAAAAAAATTCTTTTCAGTGGTCATTTTGTCTCTAACTAAACTAAAAAGGATTGCCAATTTTTCATGGATTTTGTGAACTAGTAAATGGAAGGTTTTGTGAAAATGATGGCAAAAGTACCACTTGAAAAATAAGTAAAAAGCAAGAACAAATGAGTGGTTGATGAGAAGACTAGAAAAAAATTAGAGTAAAGAGAGGGTGCGCGAAAACAAGCAATTCTCGTTTATTAAAAATTATATATGTATTTTTTCAAGTGTTTTTAGCTAAAAAGATTGGTTATTAAAAAAATAGGTTAAATAAATTTTAATATTACAGATAAACCTCTTTTTAAGATAACCCTTGGAAATGGAATATAGTTTATTATAATGAGGCTCTCTTAACCAGTGGATCAGACAGTTCTCCTTACCAGTGGCCCTAATTGAATTTTAAAGGCACGCGGACATATAATGTATGAACAGTTACCCTGCTATTATGGGACCTACAGCCATTGGGCCAATTTTTCAAATTTTAAAAACACGCCAAACGCCAAAAATCTGCCAAAAATGGACGCCAAACGCCATGACGCTCAGTCCTGCAGTGGATCAGGCAGTTCTCCTAACCAGTGGTTCTAACCGAATTTTAAAAAGCGTCTCTTAAATAGAGGTGTATTTAATATGGGGAGTATCTTATAATGAAGGTATCTTATAAAGAGGTTTTGCGATATGAGTATATCTTAAACAGAGGGTATCGCTTAAACAGCTACTCCATCCTGTGATAACAAAATAAAAAAAAGCGTCTATTAAATAGAGGGTATCTAATATTAAAGGTGTCTTATAACGAGGTTCAACAGTAATTGTAATTTAGAGATTTGTTTTTCTTTGAAGAAAAATATTTATTTATTTTTAGCTGTTAAAAATTGTTTAGTTGCTAAGCCAACAATTCAACTATGCTTTTGTCCATTTTACAGCTAAACACCTTTTTAAATGCCGAAGGGTAAAGATAAAAAAGCTTTTAAAGAAAAAAAGGGGAAATTTTATTTTAACCCTCTCCCCTCCCCTTTACTTAAAAGAATATTTTTAAAAAATAAAAATGCAAATCCCTTCACTATCTAAAACAAAACAAGAAAAAAAAAATTTAAAATTTTGAATAAAATTAAATTAAAAAAAATTAGGTAGAGAGTAGGGGATAGGACACAAACGTCGAAAACCAGAGGCGAAAATCGGAGATAACCATAAACTGAAAGTACTGGACTTGACAAAAATCTAGGTTATCGAGAACTAAATTTTTCCGAGATCTCGATTCTCGTACGAACCCCCTCAATGTCGGTTAACAGTCTCCAAATAATTATTTTAAAATTATTAGACTATTTTTTTAATATAAAATAATTTTTATTTTATTTTATATATCCATCCATTAATGTCAAAATAAATTCAATTTTTAGTTTATTCTCTAATTGGATTATTTTATTTTTTGGGTATTTTAATGTGAATATGTATACATATAATTAGATATAAAAATAACAAAAAATACAACATAATAAAGTAGGGTTGGTCCCCGACCCCGACTAACCCCGACCCCGAACCCCGACATTTTTTGACCTAAAACCCCGACCCCGACCCCGACATTCCCAACCCCGAAAACCCCGACCCCCGAAAGTTCGACCCCGACGACCCCGAACCCCGAAAAATTTTTATGCCCCCGACTCAAACTGCATTAATTAACTAGAGATCGG